TGGCACTTAATGGGTTAATACAAAGCTACATACGTGAAAAAACACAAGTGTCTGAGCTGTACGTGACTATCGCGAAAACTGTATCAGGGATCCTCAAACTCGGCGAAATGAATTTGAATTTATATTCAGATATACTATATTGTCTAAAGCTTCACATAGAATAAAATTAATTAAATCTTGTTTCTATTATTTTCTTACATTAGGAACATTTGAAACATTTACATTAAGAACATTTTTTTTTTAATTTTTAATTTTATTTTATGTCTTTTTTGAAAGGCAATAGTAATCAGTCTAAGTAAAAATATTTTTTATTTTCTTCATGTAATAATTCTAGCTATTATTTTATTTATTTGATGCTACTCATAATTTCTAAAAGATTAATATAACTTTATTTTCTTTATAATAAATGAAATTGGATAAAAAAAACATTAGAAATTAAAAGGATTAATAAATAAAAATTGAAATATATAAATTCTGAACATATAATCATGAAAATAAAATAAAGTGAAGAAATTTTGTGCAAAGAGATTTAAGTATCCCTGCGACAAATAAATTGCGATAGCAAGAAATTGTACAGATTGACAACGCACGAGAAAAGTAAGAGGTACATAAAGGCAAGTGAATCTCGACAGAAAATCTTGCCCAACGGAGCGAAAGTCACATTGGTAAGACGAGATGTGCGATAAAAATAAAATGATCGATGACAGTATAAAATTGCTGAGACACATGAGCTACAATTGTGCAAATCGTATAAAATGAATGTGAAAATCTCCAGTCTTACGAGGAATATCCGAGACGCATGGACGTGTTCGAATTAAAGTTTCGATGCAAAATTCAGGTAATTAGTATCTTAGAAAGAGAGATGTAACAATTTGCAGAGAATTTAATACTGATAAAGAATACATAGAGCTGGATATACTTATATATATATATATATATATATACAGCAAACAGGATACAACATTTTCTATTCATAAATTTCTCGGATCGATGAAAATTAAGGACAAACAATATTTCGAACGACATAACATTGCATCCATCAACATTGCATTGGATTTTCATCAAACTTCATTAAAAAACGTAATATAATTTAATAAATTTATATGAACGAATTTTACATTTTACTCTTCTATAAAAATAGTTCATGTAAATTATCTTTATCAATCCTGAAAAATTATTGATAGAATATGCTGTCATTTTGTATGCTGCGATAAGAAATTGAAAACGCGCTGTCGCAAAAAGAAAAGCTATTCTAATCCTCCGAGGCATAGTTTTACCAAAGCTTTTACGAAAGCCAAACAATTTCATATTTTCTGGTCAAAGGATCTACCGTAGTGTTCAAACGAAGATCGCAAAAAAGTGATTTCGAAGTAAAAAAATACGGCAAAAAAAATTATCCGTCTCGGCCCGGAAGGGTTAATCTCTTTACAAAAAATATACAGCGGATGTGTGTTGCAGCGAGTTTAGAAATTAACTGTAGATATCGTGAGACACTGTCGGTAGCACGAAACAAAATATTGCGTTCTCTATTCAGGTACGTGTTACGTTCGGTATCGTAATTGTGAGCTTGTAACTTAATTAAAAGATCGTGTAAGACTATACGCTTTCAGATGTTATCGCAGTAATGTAAATAAAAGAATTTCTGATGGATATCCGTGTATAGAGAGAATTAATGATTGACGTAATTAATAAGGATGCAACGGCTAATGATTTCTCGGATAATCGGATACCGGATAATTCATTTATTGCTACTGAATAAGCCGGATACTCGAATTTTATGCAAAGAGAAAAATTGAAAATCTAATTGTTTTTTACAATAAAAAAAGAAGATTTTTAAATATTAATCATTATAATATAATATGCTATAAAAATTTAATAACTAATATTTATTAATAAATAATTTTTCAATATTTTATTAGTGATTTTTAATAAAGTTAATTATTCAAAATAAAATTTAATAAAAACCTATTTATAATAAACTCTATAAATTTGAAGAATCAACATCTGTATTAAATCTATTTAAAGCTAAATATCTTATGAGTTAAATTCTTATGAGTAAAATTAGATGCTTTGAAAAAATATTGAACAAAGTATATATTACTAGTCAAATGGCCGGATTGTAAAAAAGTCAGATAGATACAGATTAGATACCCGTTGCATCCCTAATAATTAATATTGCATCACGTTTTATCCCTAATGCGTTAATTAATTATTTTCAGAAGAACCTATTAAGATTTAATTATTTTCAGAGAAAAAAATGGATAAAAATTTCCTCCATCATTATTTTTTTCCCTGGATTTCAATTAGTTTCGTACTTCGTATTGTTTAATTATTTAATTTTATTTCAATAAACTCATTTTATCAAGATAATTTAATTAGTGATATCGCATCATTGCCATTTTTTTCGACGGCAATTGAAAGAGCCTTCATAAATTCAGATCAACGACAAGATAACGATGTGACCAGCCAGGACTTTTACGGAATCTTATTATGACCAGCAGGTAATGGAATTGCTTTTACATTATTAAACTTTAAAAGTACGGATTGCTAGGGCGATAATTGCGAATGAGTGGCATAATGAGTGGACGAATGACGAAGCAATATAACTTAGGGATTAAATATAAGAACGTTGATATTATCGTTAACGGGAGTGTGATTTAATTTTCATATAAACCGATCGCTATCTATTAAAATAAATAATTAATATTGATATGTATACAATCGGTTTCCTTTTCGAGATTGCTATCGCCAAATCTATCATGCAACATCGAGGATAAAGAAATGACCTTTGAATTTTTTTACATTAACTGGTGATGACGAATTTATTGGACCCACTTAATTATAAATTTTTTTATTAGAAATGTAAGACAATTCAATTTTTTTATGTTTCATTTACACAAATTTAGATTATTCTTATTAAAATATATTTAACATCCATTTGTTTTTATATGAATTATGTCATTTTTATTCCTTGAAATTAATTAGTATTTTTAATTAACATAAATTAAATGGATCAGATTCAATGTAATAATTATAGATTTTGGTATTAGTTCAGAAAGATTAGCTATTTTAGCAAATTTTTAAAAATTTAAATTCTCTCTTACAAGAGACTTGTCATAATTCTGAAACCGATTTGAAATATGTTGTTGTCTTCTTGAAATACATTATTAAATACAAAAATCTAGGAGATACATATTTTTTTTTATATAAGCTTAAATGTTATGTTAAGGAGTGAAACAATCCTTTAAAAAGTTAGCTTATATTTGATAGATGATTCAGTGAAACTGTGGATATAGAAAAATGTTTTCGATAATATTTTTATATATATTTGATATAAGCTTATATATATTTGATAGCTTTATATATATTTGATATAAGCTAATGCAATTATATATAGCTATATTTCGAGATTTTTCAAAAATCCAATATCTTTATCCCCGATAAATTTTGAGGGGTCAATTAATTCCTTAAATTTCAAATTGGCCAATATAAAAAATACTGTGTCTCTTAGAATTTATGTTTAACACATTTTAAGAAGGATCGAATCGGTTGCGGATGATGACAGGCCCCTTGTTAGGTAAAAGTTTACTTGAAATTGACGAAGGAACAAGGTTTTGCTATCCGTACAGCACTTAACTCGTCGGAACTCTAGTCTTCTGCAAGTCATGGAGAACTCATTCATAGACGATCGTTTGTCAATATCGCGAGTCCGATGTATTTATACTATTTACATGCAGTATCTAATGGTAATGCGGGATATAAAGACCAGAAACCTGGATAAACTAAAAAATGCATTTGTATAGAGTCGAAGACGGCAACGATGAACGTCAGGAACGTCCACACGATGACGTACTGCGACAAGTGCGGCGTCACGTTCACAACGCAGCACGCGCTTCTGCGGCATATTATATCCAAGCACGAGGACTCGCCGAATTCCGCAGTCTACTGCAACATCTGCCAGCGTGTCTTTAAGACCAAATGGAGTCGGGCAACGCACAACAGCAGATACCACAGAAACTGACTGAAAGCTCACCTAATGTCACAATCCCAACATGTAGTATTAGCGAATTGGCGTGGCAATTCCATTATTGATTAATAAAGTGCTTTGTACCTTATACCTATTTAGCTTTTTCTCGAACTATCATTAAAAAATTTATGATCAGAATTTTATTGTTATTATTATAATTATTCGATTTAAATAAATTGTTTAAATCTTGATTTAAGAAAAAATATCAAAAAACGAGAGAGCATTTATCCTTACGCGAATCAACAATTGTTATAATTTATTCTTCTCGTTCTTCTTCTTTATCTCTTTTTAAGAATATTTTTAAAAACTAGAAATCGTTTTATAATTCATATGTTTGTAAGTTATATAATAATTATTTGTAAAGCTTGAAATCGAAGAATTGAAGAAATTTTGTTAATTTATTTATTTTTGGCCCATTTAGGCTATAAATTCTATTTATAATATAAATGAAAGAAAAGAAGCGATACGTAATTGGAATAGAAGTATAATGCTCAGAACTTTAATTTTAATTATTTTTAATTATAATTTAATTAATAATTATTTTTAGAAATGTCTACAATTTTAATTCGTATTTTTTGCATCATATTAGCTTGTTATATTATAATTTTTCGATAATTTTTAAGATTTCTGCGCATCGAGCTCCAAAATTAAAAATTCTTATAGTAATTTCTAGAGTCGCGAATTTTTAAAATTATAGTATCATCAATTATATTTCCTGAATGCCGATTTAGCAAGGCACTCAAACATTGTATAGTTTAAGTTACTTAAGTATGTTGAATAAATAAATTTCAAATCAAAAGTGTCAGATCGTCAAAGATTTAAATAGAAAACAATTGCAGTCGTGATTAGAGAGCAGTGTTGGTAATTGATACACAATATTTAATGCATGGAATAATTGACTATTTGTAGTATTTAATGCTGTGAATTCGGATCAGGTCTCGTTCTTTTCTTTACCATTTATTAATAATGTATGTAAAATAATAAACAATTTATTTCCTTAAAAAGTATTGTACATATAGTATTATAGTTTTTTGTCTTCTTTTTCAAAAAAAAAAAAAAACAAAATACAAATTTTTCAGTATTATAATTTGAGATATAATTAATATTTATATGCTTGATTTGTATTTATCATTATTAAAGTGATATATTAAATAAATAATTGTGTAATTGATTACATAGTTTGGACATGACGCTTTCTTTCTCCATATAAAATTATTTTTATATTTTAATGTACTGTGTATTCCATATAAATAATTAAAAATAAAATCTCACGATATAATGTTATAACGCATAATATAAGAATAGAAAGGTAACACATGTGTGTTTCAAATAAAAATAGTGGTAAATTCATGATTAAATTACTTTATTAAATATTTATTTAGGTTGTAAAGATCACATGACTATGTTATCCTATTTAAAATAACATAGAGTTTCAAGTTCCTCTGGATCGCGCATACGTGATGATAAACATTTTGTTTTTTTTTGTTTTTTTTTCCTTCCTCTGGCTCTCACAATTTCTTAATATTCTCTCGCTGTCATTTATAAATGAGGAATGTTATATCTACAGCCTCCTCTCAACGCAAGTACCAAATGCAGCACCGAACCGCCCTGGACTTTATAATCTTGTGCAGTCTTCTCGTCGTTCCTGTGAAATAAAAATATAACTTTCTGCGTTTTCAATATTTTATATTTATATAATTAATTAATTATACATGTCTCAATAATTAAAATTATATTCCATAAATAAAATTAGTCTTCTCTTATATAAAATCAATTCATCTTTCTAATTTCGAATTTTCTTTATACTTGCTTTGGAAGAGAATTGATTAGTCATATAAGATTTTTTATATATAATTATTTATTTCTACTTTCATTCAACAAAAACTCAGTCTTAAACATAAAGTATGCGTCGAAAGTAATGAACATATTATTGTTAAAGGAACGCAAATTCCAGAGGAATGGAACATAGCACATCACCACTTGGAATATATACCTTCGACCGCTAGGAAGATCTGTGCCATGAGAAGGTGCAAAATGTGCACATCAAAGGGATTTAGGAAAGAGACACGTTATTATTGCGCTACTTGTAATGTCGGATTATGTGTAACGCCATGTTTCAAAGAATTTCACATAAACGTGCGTAAAAATTAGGATATTAAAATTGCGTTTATAAGAGAGATTCACCAGTTGCTAGTTGTTGATCCTGATATGAAATGATACATCGTTGAAAAGCATCGAGGTAATCATAGATATATATGAGTCGTTGCCTTCCGAACGAATCCTGATATGATATATAAAAGCTGCAGTCAAAGTCTCATTACAAATACTTTGAAACATTTGATTGATCAATTAGAAGAAAGAATCGTACAGACTGATCAATCAAAAAACGCTTTAAAGCATTTGTAGCATTACATTGACTCTATTCAGAATATCAACATTGCAGATACGGTGATTAAGTATTAATGTATATAGGATTCTCCCAGGATAGTAATTATGTAATTATGTCTGGGATTCATTTCTATGTTAAAAAACATTCACATGAACCTCAGACATGATAGTAATTATTATGTTTGGAGCTCATGTAAATGTTTTTTAACATAAAAATAAGTCTCAGACATTACTATCTTGTAAAAATCCCATATATATTAATATCTAATCACTTTGTCGTCGTAGATATTGCATATTCTGTGTATCATACTATAATTCATTCAAGAGACAACAATCCATATCCATCTGCGATCATCTTGGTATATGCTTTATAATAATATCCACTAGTCAGGATCTACGACTTTCAAGGATCTTCCTTGTTAATATAATAATATAGTAGTTAATATAATAATTTAAAATTACAAATTCAATTCTTTATCAATCATAAATTAAAGAAATTTCATGCAAATATATCATAAAATCATAATATTTATACGTACATCTGTTTGCCAGAAAATATTAATCGCTGCTGTTGAGGTGGTATTCCTTCCTTCTCTTCCACTCTTTCTTTAATTCTCTCTACCTTGTCTGTTGGTTCTATATCTATTTCGATCTAAAGAAATTATACATTAATATTGATCTGAAGATTTATACATAATAAATATATTTTTGTTTTTACTTATTGTTAAATACAATTTATGCCATTGTTAGATACTACTTATGTTCGTTTCCAATATAAATTAATTTTAATTAATCTCAGTTCAATTTAGTCATTTTTTTCTAAATTTAAGAATTTAAAAAAGATGAAGAATAAGTTAAATCAAGATTATATTGAATTAATAAATAAGACATTCATATGAAAAATAACACATTATACTTGAAGAAATAATAACTCAGAGAATGAGAATCAGTCTCAATTCAAATATAATAACTTTCTTTTTAACTGATGTAAATGAAAGTGGTAACAGAGTGAAAAGGTTCAAAGTCAAGTTTAATTTTTTCCGTGTAACATAACTTTCCGAAATTTAAATTTGGAAATCGTTAAGATACAACAATTAACAGTTTCAAAATGGACTGAGGTGTTAGATTGTTTTTTTATTGTAACTGAGCAAAGTCAATCTATCGTTGGTAAAAAGGAAGCTTTTGTATTTCGATCATATGCATCATTTGTAAAACCGTTTGATTTTAAGATACTTGCCTCCTTCCCCGTAAGAGTCTGAAACGAAAATTAATTAAAAGAGTTACGAGCCGGCATGAATTTCGTGGTGGACAAGTTGAGGACCAATATAATTACCTTGACTTTTATCAACATCTTTCAATTATTAAAGGCTACGTTAAATTTTCACGATACTATCACCGATTAAGACTCGCCAACGCTGCAGAAAAAATGAACAGGCGAAAAATCTATGAATCGCAAAATACTGTCACTTTACTGCACGACTCTAACCTAATTCGTCGACTTGCATTCGTCGTGTCGCCGTCTGTTGGCGACGAACATTACTATGGAATAAAACTACATGTTTTTATTCAGCTCTTTATTTAAGAAATTAAATTATATTCTATTCACATATTTTGTACATTTAAGAATATCTATAAATTATTGTTACAGATTACATTCCTTCAATCTTACTTTAAATATAATCCTAACGAAAATTTTTTTCAGAATTTTTTATAATTTTCTAGAGAATTAATTTTTATATAATTTTTAAACATAAATTTCAGAATTCTCTAGAATTCTGAACAATTTTATAATTTTTAAGGAAATTTCTTAAATTTTTAAATATAAATTAAAACTTTTCAAAAGTGCTAAGAAATCTGCATCTTTTCTGAAATTCTTAAATATTCTAAAATTTCTCATTCTATAATTTCTGAAAACTTATGAACTCTAGAAAAGTTTAAAGTAGTTTTTTACACATTACATTATGAGAAAATTAAATTAAAATTTAATTTTAAAATTTAAAAATTTCAGAATTCACACATATATGAAAAGAATTTAAAAAAGACGAAGGATAAGTTAAATCAAGATTATATTGAATTAATAAATAAGGCATTCATATGAAAAATAGCACATTATACTTGAAAACATTTTAAGAAGGTAGACTTTCTCAATAAGTATTTCTGAAGTGTTCCAATTCACATAAAAATTCTGAGAAAAATTTTCATCAGGCAATTAGATCTTAATCTAGACATACATCATAATTAAGTAAATATCACATTTTGTACTTTATAAAAAGTTGTTTTTATATATTGAATATGATTTAACGTAATGATTATAGTCATGCAATAAGTTGTTAGAAAAGCATAATTTGCAAAAAAGTTCTTTGTTTCTTACGTAATTATATATCTAACGTAATTGTATATCTAACGTAATTATGTTGTTGAGAAATTGTTGATTAATAATGATAAAGTTTCTAACGATCTGTCACAATTTTCAACTTCTCTTCTTGAGCCAACAGTTGATTCTTTATCTTTTGTAACAGTTCCTTCTTCACAGAGTCTGGTACAAGCGTGCGAGCTCTGCTAGTCACTGTGGACAGCAGCGTGTCATAAGAGATATCGTGGCCATGCTCTTTTATTATTTCCTTTGAGATCAGCTTCACTTGATCTCGCCATCCACACTCGACTAGTCTGCGCCTTAACAATTCTTTCAGTCTGGAAATAAATTTCACGGGCATACAATATTTTATTTTAGATAAGAAATAATTAGATTTATTTGAAAATTTTCTCTAATAATCAAAATCCTGACTATTACAAAATATAATTCGCAATTCACCTTAAGGAAATTATTTGAAGCTAAATGTTGACGTAAATATACAAAATTTTGATACATTGTATTTACCCATCACGATCGCCAACCATGACCAATCTCTGATGTGCTGTCTTCATTAATAATCTTATCTAAGCGTAATTCAATTTAGAAAGATTCTCTATTGTTGTTTTGCTGTTAACCTTTCAAGTCAAATAATTCAACAATAACAAGGCAGTTGTTTTGATGAGCAAGATCATTTTAAGTCGGTATTCCAACTTGGATTTCATTCAGGATGCTAATTGGTTGTGATATAGGGAATTTCTAGGATTTTTCAAGTTTATGCTCTGCTATCACCATAATGTAGGATTCACATTGTGTACGATGGCTGTGGTCAAATACTCGTATTCATAGTCAGGCCTTATGTTTAAGGTTTCCTTAAATTTATTTTCAGATACTCTAAGAATTATTTCATTGGCTACTGAGCATCTAAAAATAAATTTAAGGAAGTTTTAGGTACAAGGTTTGACTACGGGCAAAAAAGTTTCGCTACAAATGAAGCATTTGATGGACCAATTAGAAGAAAGAATTTTACAAACTGACCAATTAAAAAAAACGCTTCAAAGCATCGCGTTGATCTTGATATTCGATGTATGCAATATAAATCATGGACTGTATTCAGCAGAATATTTATTTTGCAATTGTTGGAAGTTTTTTTCGCGCTAATTGGGTTATGCTTTTAGATCAAGAAAAATGGTCCTATCTCAGCAGAGAATCATAAAACGATTGCAAAACTGTTGTGTTCTGCTAAACGCAACCATTGTGTGAAAATGTAGTTTTGATTGGACATACTTTTGATTGTATTTGTAGACAGATATTTATAAGTCGATATATTTAACTGTTTTAAGTTTTAGGTTAATATTTCAAGTTTTAGGTTAATATTTCAAGCCTCATACGGAGGCTTTTCAAGCCTTTTGATTGGCTGAAGAATAGAGAGAATCTCTAACCTCTTTATTCTGTAATCAATCAACACACTTAAAAAGTTTATCGACACATGAGTAGCGGATATTTATGCAAAATACTTAACTGAATGAGTACGATCAATGCGATGCTGCAAACGCTTTGAAGCGTTTTTTAATTGGTCAGTTTGTAAAATTCTTTCTTCTAATTGGTCCATCAAATGCTTCAAAGCATTTCTAGCAAGACTTTGACCACCAATATCAGTAATTGTCATAGATAGTTTTAACAATCGATAGTTATTTGTTAAAAAGTTATTAAAAAATAAAATTAAAAAATTGAGATTGCTATCTGTAAATATGCAATTTATGCAAAATATTCAGTTAAGTATTTTGCATAAATATTCGTTTAAATATTGGATTTAAGATGTCATAAGCTAATTAAAGGATTGTATTAATATTTTAAGACATTATCTATAAGATGATTTTAAAATAAAAACGGAAATGAATATCGCCCATATAGTAAATATTATCTAAAAAATCTTCGAATTAATCTACTGATTATTCAATTGAAGTTAACTAATTACATGTAAAACTAGTCTTATTTAAGACTGAATTAAATATGATCTTGAAATATAAACTTGATTGGAAAACTTGAAAAAGATTATTAAAATTATAATATAATTATATCAAAATTATCATTCTTTTAAGAATTATTAGCAATCATATGATTTTGTATTCAAAATCATTTGAATTCTAATCTTATAATTATATCATCTTACAATTTCATTTAATTCAGCCAATAGCTGAAATCAACAGAGATAATTAATCAGCACTTAGTAATTCTTTAATATGATTGGTTCTTGCCTTCAGCTCTTCGCTGGATCTAAGTGTAGAAACCAATTGTAAGAAATTAAAGAATTACTAAGCACTGATTAGTTTTTTTTGCTGAACACAGCCATTTCGAGATCGTAATAATCGTATTTGAAATGATCTTAAATGTAAAATTAGAATTTGAATGCTGCTCTATAAACATCGGCTTAATCTTGTATTTAAATTGAATTTTCTTAAAATTTTTAGATCTCTCAATTTTTTTCACCCAATGGAATTAATGAAATGTTTATATAATATCATCAAGATGATCTTGAATATGAGATTTGAATATCAATACTGTTCATGGCTACTGATACTGATAAGTGGTAATGGAGTGATTGAGAGAATTTTCTTATAAGAACTTATTTTTAGTATTTTCTTTTCTTGTATATGAGTCAGTACATAAATTGTGTCATGTAAGTGTTAATAATTGTGCTAATAATGATAATGAAAATAATATAATTTGAATAGGACAAGAGATCACTGTATATATTTACATTGGCTTGCTGGCATTTTTGTATGGCAAAGAACCGGTTAACCTTAAATTAAGCTCTTATAGAATTTAATATTTTTGTATTATTAAAAAATATTTTTTTATTTTAGAATATGGCGTCAGCAAGAGCGTTAAATCACATTCTTCAGAGAAGGCATTTGATCATCCATATGCCAAACATCTCATATTGTCTTAGTATTGTTCCTAGCATTAAACACAGTGTTTGTTATTCGACAAAAAAATCTGTAACTAAAGTAGACTCCAATGAAACTAATAATCAGGTACAGATTGGCACTGCAGAAGTAGGTAAATTTCACATGATGTATGTTATGTATTATTCTCGTATAATAAGTATCATTTTATATCGTTTTTTTTAGTTAAAGAAAACTTGAAATCTGCTGGATATCTTGGAGTAATAATAGGTGGCATTGGGGTTACTGCTTTTATGTTCTACGCTCTATTTTCGGAACTATTTTCCAGCAAAAGTCCATACTCTGTTTACAGCGAAGCTCGTGTCCGTTGCATAGAACATCCAAAGGTCATGGATATTCTTGGAGCACCTGTAAAGGCTTTTGGAGACGAAACTCGACGTGGACGTAGAAGACACATCACGTACGTCCAGATAAAAAATTTTTTTTAATTTTTAAATATAAACTATAGATATACATTTTGTATATGAATCCTGCTGCGATATCTCTGTATTTATTTTTTTCAGTCATACATATTACATTAAGGATGGTGTGAAGTATATGAGAATAAGATTTTATGTACAAGGAACGAGAAGGCAGGGAACAGTATATGCAGAAGTAAAAGAGGTAAGACTTAATTGAAAATTACAATTGAAAAGACAACAGGAACACATAGAGAAGAGATTTCAAATGAAGAATTAAATTTCTGCTAGGTTGAAATTTGTTACATTCTGTTACTATTGCCTATGCTTTTCATTTCTCAGCTTAAGTTTGCGAGTTTGTAATTGGGAATGATATGTTTACCGATGATATATTCGATTTTAATTACAGAATGCGTCTGGCAATTACGAATATTCATATCTGTATGTTACGGTCAATCATGTTGGAACAATTGTGATAGAGGACAACCAAAATACCACTAAAACCCAGCAAGATGACAATTCTACGATGGATTTTAACTTCCTACTGAATAATCGTTAAGTGTATATATAATACATTGATATGTAAATAGCGTTATTGGAATGTATATGTAATGAAGTTTTATATAAAATGTAATTTTTCTTATTTATATTTTTGTATATTTTTATCTATATATTTTTTGTATAGATAAGATGACAGAAGAGTGTTAAATGTCAATTAATTATTGCCTCTCAAGCAAGATGTGAAAGCTGATTAAGACTTCTCAAATAAAAGCTGCAGTCATTCAATCAGGAATATAATTTTTCTT